GTAGTAACACTAAAGAACACATATATATTGATCTGCAACAGGACTAGTAGAGTGGATGTTTTCATTTCATAAAATTCATCCTGACATCTTAGATTACATTTAGCTTTAAGGCAGTGTGGAAAAAGCATTTTATCCAACCTCTGGGGAAAAAAAAATTAAAATATCATTTCTGAATTTTTACTGAAACTGTAATCAGAAAATCTGTGAGTACAAACTTCAAGCACGAAAGCACACAAATTGGTTCATAAGCTATAGGCACAGACCAAATGGCATATAAAACCTCACTGACTCAAGTACAGCACTCAAGATGCAAGTATCTTTTAATAATTGAAATAAAACCACACAGGTAGAGCCATTCGTCTCTGACTTTGATGTCCTACGTATTTATAAAGAAATGCTTAAATTTGTAGCAGAAGTAGAAAAAGTACGTCAGCCCATAGCAAAGCAAAGGAGGCCGGGTTGTTTGAGACAGAGAGAGCCTATGGCAACAGAAAGTGAAATTACACTTCAAATAACCCAAAACAAAACTGTTTTTGAGTCACATCCTGGCAGTTCACACAATCTGCCAGGGCATAAACACGTCTTTTCAGAAACAGAGAATTACATTGGAAAGACTAAACCTAGTTCAAGATCTGTTTTTAATTTTGGCCCTGAACTGTTAGCTTTAATGCTTAGCTAAACATTTAAAAGTCTGAATTCACATTTGCTCATTTTAGCATTGCTCACCCTCTTTTTTATAGACTTGTTCTGTTTCCTCTACTTCAGCCTCATAGCATTTTATACTGTTTTCAAAATTTTAATTACCTGAGATTACTGGAATTAGATGTATCACAAAATAATGGTCACATTGAATGTATAGTCTCTCATAGCTCTTCATGTATTGAAGCAGAGCAAAACCACACACTTTTTAAACTAGAAAATCATTACATACAGTCATATTTATTATAGTAATACCTGTACTGATTTTCTGAAATGATAGATACCTTATAGACACCAGACACTGTTGCAGTTAATTTTTATTCCTGGTCTGCCACATGAGTGAAAATGTGTTTGGGGGGGGTGGTAGTGTTTGGGTTGGGGTTTTTTTAGTGGGTTTTGTTGTTGTTTTTTAAATAACATTATTTATTCAATACTGAGATAGAAATGTACCATTTAACTGATGCTACTGATTTGCTTCAGAATTTCTATTATGTATTATTCTATTTCCACTGAAATACTTTTACAAAGACTATTTATTCCATGCAGACATTAGCTCTACGAGCTGCAGACCAGGTTGCATTTTTTGCTGAACAGAAGCAAGCTGAATACTCTGACTTGCCCAGCGTGAAGTCTCGTCCCAATTAAGTTAAAATCATTCAATAGCACTGCAGTTGCTAACAGCAATTTAGCACTGCTGCCATAAAACATACATTCAATACTATTTCAAAAGCCTTTCCATGGTAGAGAAGCTGTATAAAAATCCTCCTGACAAGGATTGCTACTGCTGTGGCTGCCAGGCTCCAGCCCTTTAAAAACAAGACAAGAATGGTAGAACAAACCTGCAATCCTACATACTCAAATTCTGTAATTTTAGGATGATTTTCTTATATTATCCTGCACAAAGTTCAGGATAATCTCCCAGACACCTGGCCAACTCCTTACTATTCCCATGAAGGAGCAAGGTGCTTTTTCCCCCATAACATCACTCAAATCTTTTTTGAGTAACTGCTCACACACCCCAGAGAAGGGAGAGCCAACCTGACCCCCACTCAACTTTTCGTGAGCCTGTACATTTTATCACATAAAGGAGAGGAAGACAATGTATGCTTCCCTCAAAGGGCATGACACAGACAGTAATTTCTACCCAGATGCTCAAAAAAAACCAACAGGTATTTTGGAAAGGTTCTAAGTGTCAAACAGTAGTTGGTACACCTCTGCAGAGATTTCCAGTGGCAGCAAGTGCAGACCTGTACCAAAAGGCACAGGCAACAGCAAATGTACTTGTGTTGAAGCACATTTCCATATTCTAGAGGTCAGTGTCATGTTTTGTTTTTAAAACATGTATTTTTAAATAAAATACAATTATGCTCTTAACAATATGACAGCAAACCTGCCCCCACATTCTAACAACCTCTTTATTTCCTCTTCCATCTTCCCCCAAAGCTCCCTAGCAGCTTACTCATAAGCAGTACCTAATACCACCAGCTCTCCCAAATATAAACAGCGTTTTCAATGGGTTTATGTAGGTGGAACAGCTCCAAGAAATCACTCACTGTCTTACAACTGGTGATACAAATATTAGCCCTACTCCTGACACATTATTGCCACCCTCGCTGGCTCAGAGGTGCCCCCAGTACAGCAACAAGACTGTACAACCCTCATCCCAAAAAGCCCTCCTCTCCTCCCCAGGCCTCCTGTAGCCCCTAGAAAGGGCTGTCTGCAGTAAAGTAATGACACAGCTGAAGAAACTCTGTGCTTTGGATGGTATTTGCAACCTCAGCACTGTTCAGATGAAGAGTCCACAAGCACGCAGGCAGTCAGTTCATGTGTACCATTTGGAGGCATTTATCACCATCCTACTGTCCCTATCGGTAGGCAGGACTATAAAAGCAAGAGCAGCTTGACTACTCAATAGGTAAAGGGACATCCAACACTACCTATTTAAGCAAATTAAGCAAATACTGCTTAATACCGTCCTTACGCCTTACGCCTTTTATCCTTTTCATAGATACACTCTGGCCAGAAATGCAATCAGCCAAGAAGAAAATTGCTTCAGATCTGTCTGAGCTGAGACTGCTTAGTGCTACAGCAGCTTCTTATCCGTCTTACCTGTCCTAATTATTAGACCGTCTGCAACAAATTTTAAGCGGGAATATATTAATCATATCAATATTCTATAGAAATAACCGTGTAATCCAGATGTTGCTTCCAGAGGAATGCAGGAATACTTTACATACCGTGATAGCTTTTGTGCGCTTGTTATATGCCATAAGAAAACGTTACCTTTCGATGTAGTGCACTACAGGTACGGAAACAGGGAAAGGCTCATGTAACATGATTTTTCTCCCTTTATTCTTACTGGACAATTCTATGGTGTGTGGTACAGCATGGTCTGTCAGCAGATGCGCCTGAAAGACCTCTTCAGCCTTCAGCAGTTTCCCCCATTCATCACTTATTTTTCATATAGTTCTCTCAAAACTTAATTGTGGACTAGCTGCTTCTTAGCGTGCAGACTGAGGGTGAGGCTATTTCTGTAGGCCAGCTTAACTCAGGAAGGCTACTACGCCCTCTGAAATGGCCAACTGATACTCACTTTGGGCTCTCTCATGTAACACAAAAGGACTACGCGTGAGCAGCCTTCAGTTACAAACACTGTGCACAAAATGGAATTCTTAAGGCAACATCTAATTTTATCAGAAGGACCAAAATAAACTTTGAACTCCTAGAAGAAAATCCTAACAGTATTTTGCTATATAAACATTCCCATTAAAAATATTTTTATATGTCAAAATTTAGATAGCGCTGGAGAAAAACCAGCAACATTTGTTGACATTCTTAACATAGTGTCATGTTTATGTCGTAACAACAAAAAATCATCAGAAATGCTTTGTTAAATACATATTTGCTACAGTAGCCATCAGATACACACACTGAAAAAGGTTCTTCACATTAAATTTTGTATCTGAAACAGACCTGACCTCTGTCATTCACACAACCTTCTGTTTTGAACATTTGTGAGCCTGCTGCTGCAGCTGTATAAGAAGGGAAGGATGTTCAGTGAAGTGGAGCTCTGCAAAATCAAGCAGACCTTTCGTATTTTGGAAAGCGAGTTATCAGCATGAACAGATTTAGTTACTGTCTTATAGCAACATCAATATATACCAATGCTAAAGCAACGTATAAAACTCTGGTCTCTTTTAAGAGAGTGGAGTCTCAGTGCTAACTTGACTGGGAACAAGATTTCACGGCAGTCCTGACAGCATTCAGCAAAGTCAAGTAGCTTGCCACTATGTCCAAACCTGTGTCTTCAGCTGAGTGGAAGAAATCAGGAGTATAATAGCTTGTGTATTTCTGTTCTACTCTCCCAGAATCTTCTTTGTATTATGATTTTAATTTTTGCCAACACCTAATAACAAAAAATGGAAATTTAGATGCAGGTGAAGTGGATTGTAGGTGCAGATTCTCTTAGGATAATGACAACTCAGGATCGATACACATAAAAAATTAATATGTAATGATCTTCAAAGATGAGTTGTTAGAACTAAACTAGTGAATTAGTCCAACTTTATGAAAACTGGAATATATGCCAAGTGATAAAGCAGGAGGTCACTTTTAAGTGAAATTTAAAGAAGTCAGTAGGGAGGCATGCCTCTCACACAAAAGCAAACAAGGTAGTATCACACGATCACCTATCTAGACATCCTTTTTTACAACTGCTGCAAAAGATCTGTTTGCAAGACCCAAATCAATGGCTTCACTAAGAGCATTAAAACTTGGAACTTGGAACTTCCTCAGAGTTGAGAACCCTGAAGATTTCAAAGTTATTTCATGAATTTTAATACTTCCTGTGCTGAACAGCTGACTTGAACTTTCACAGTATGCAATTCAGATTGTAAGAGGCATTTAAATATAGATGATTTTACAATAGTGAAATATATTCGAATCAGAACATTTTGGTTCACTTACAACCATTATTTGTATAAAATAATTTGTGATGCACAACAGAATTTTTTCAGGGACATTTGCTCACAGAAGTTGGCGATGGAGAAAAACTGTTCCCCCTTAATTGCCACTCCAGCCATATTCACACTTGTGAGACTTGTGGTTGGAAGAGTGAAGGCTGTGCAGGCCAATGACAACTGTAGTCATGTGAACCATATCCAAAAGCCAATTTCTGACACAACTCTCTATCATTTTAAGTAACAACTAATAGCTGGAAGTTGTAAGGTAAAATAGCTAGAATCCTACAAAGATTCTCCCGTCTTCAATAAGAATCAGAGGTACAATGAACCTTTAGACTGTAATTCTTTAATGTAGTTTCTTGTGGAGTCTGAGAGGTAAATCACTCAGAAGTGTATCTGTATTTCAAGAAAAAAGTTAGACCGTATCAAGCTATATTATAGTCTTGATTTCAATTACAGAGCACAATTTCATAGACTGACGTAAAATGTTTCTGTATTATAGAAATCTGATTCCTGCTCCAAATTGAACACCATCACATATCCTGAAAAGAAACAAATAATAAAAAATGTGTTATATAAGGTACTGATGAAATTAAAATTAATTTTCCCGAGCCCCAAATTCCCATGGTTTTCAACCTTTGGAAAGTTACAATTCAAATTTTAGCTGGCAAGAGCTTTTTTAAATAAATCCTTTGCCAATCTGTCATCCACATGGAGTATTTACATTTGCAAAATAAAGCTCATCGTTTTCAAATTGCTATTATTCATTCACATTTCACATCAATGGCAAGTAGAAACATAATCCAACTCCTGTACGAAATACAGAGTATCTCACACCGTATTCACAGGCCCCCTGAAGCTTTTCTGTTACATACTACAATATTTGCTTGGTGTAGGATAATTGGTTGCTAACAAATTAATTTGTCCTCCCTTTCTCTTTATCTACAGTTAAACTTGTTTTCATTTTTCAAGCAAAGACATTAAACTCGGTATTTATCCAATCATTTGTTTTTGGAAGGCTTAAGAAAATCCCAAGAGCTGTCTGAGTGATCATTTCCCCTAAAGAAATAAAACCTGCTACACGGCTACTCATACATTTCAACAACTGATCTCAAGTTCAATGAACTCTAAGATACAAAGTCTTAAACCAAGACGTACCATGAAACCACCGTGAATATAGCAAGCTGAAAGACCAGCAACTGCTGAAAAATCTCTAAACTGGCATAGAATAAATAAAATTTAAAGACGGCGATTCTCTCTGCCAAAACCAGATAGAAGTGCTGTAACCTTCAAAACCAGTTACTATTAAAAAAATTGGTGTAAAGAACAAACCTGTCACCAGACTGTACTCCCATGGGGAAACAGTAGTTAAGTTCTAATCTAGCAATGTTTCCAAGTCGGAGTACTATTCCGGCACCATAAGACCATCGGATATACTCTGCCAGCTTCTGCAGGTGAGCTCTGGGACCATCACCTGAAAGCCAAAGAGCAAGAGAACAAGAATCAAAGTAGATGTCATGGTGGTCAAAGGCTAGCTGGATTTTCAGAGCTAGAAGACAGACTACTCAGGAGCACCTCCTGCAGATTCAAAACTTATTTACTACTTATTTACTACCCGCAACTCCATAAATGCCAAGTACCTTGGACTCAAACTACTGTGATTTTAGTTGCATTGATGGTTGATCTTCATTTCCCACCACAGTGTACCTACTTGCATGAATCTGGAAAAGAGTACTAAAGACTTAACTAAAAGTCTTCAGTTGGTCTCTATTAAAGTTGATTCCTCTGGTTTTCAATTGTGCACAAAGTGTTTCCCTCCCATAGGGATGCCATCTCTCTTCCATCAAGCGAGGCAGACATCCAGTATCACTATATCCCCAAGCTGATTCCACTGATAATGAAAAATCATACACTAATATCCTGAAATGTATCTTGAAAAAAGTTAGGGATGGAAGAAAAAAAACAACAAACAAAACATCAGCTACCACAACCTCATCTACACTCCAATGCCACCATTTTTTAATTAGTTCATCCCAGAAAATATTAGAATCCTACTAAAACCTCATTTTCCAATCTCCCTTTAGATGGTGTATAGCAGGTGTTAATCAATTACCACATTGGTCTGCGAACGTCACCAATTCACAGATACTACCGTTATTGTCCTAGCTCTCTTTCATACAAATTGTGCTAGAATTTATGTAGAGAACTAAAAAAATTATTGGCAATCTGTCAAATGGACAAGTTGTAGCAGTAGCTTTTTGGCAGGCACCAAAATATGCACAGTAAACAAACAGCTTCTGAGGAAACAGACACATAATAGCTCTCTTCTTTGTGCTTTTCTGCATATATAGAGAGAAGCAAGTTTTGTTACATACAATTCTGTCGAGTCTTACCATAGTCAAGGTTGCAGAGGTTTCCAGCATTAAGGAAGAAATGTGTTCGGAAAAGGTCTCCGAACCCTCCCCGGCCTGGCCGGAAAGGGAGAGGGGTGTATAGATGTAAGCCTCCAGCCCAGTAGGCTTCTCCTCCTAAGTAATCACCTAGTTAGGGAAAACATTGGAATAAAAGCATTTACTGTGGAATATACTAAAAGAACAAGAATACATCCTTAAGTTGTTTTATATTGCACTGCTACCTCTTTTACAACTCTCACCACTTGCTTCTAGCTCTCTCCAGCCTCCTCACCATCAAGTAAAAAATTAGCACTTACACAATTCTTTAAACCTTCCAAGTGAATTGCCCATTTTTCCTTATTCCCTCACCCGAACAGCCCAAGGTATGCAGCTACTTGTGCTTCAACAGTGACTCCCTCCTGAACACCTCTGAAATACTTGCCTTAGTTTTAAAAATGGGAAATCGATACGATTAAACAATTAGCTTTACAATATACTGAATCCACTGCTAACAGCAAGGCAGCAGCAGAGTAAGGAATAGAACTGAGGAAGCCCCTGGCTCTCCAAACACATTTGTTGATCAGATTACCTTTCCCCTAAGCTACCTAAACATATGCTGTATCAAACAGAGATTTAACGTGACTATTGCTATAACCATCTTTTGGGAACTTATTCAGCTTGAAGGTTGCTTACTAAAGTGACATACCAGAAGCATACAAGTCTGAACACACACTTGGTTTACAAAAGTTATAGCTTAACTAAGAACTAGTAGGCTTTATTCCATTGTGAACTAATACATAACAACAGACCAAAGACATAACACTTCTCAGATTCAAAGTACAGAATGAGTAAAATTATTTTTAAGCAATACAAAGCTTAAGGACAGAATTTGATTCTTTGCTACACAGTATTATTTACAGTATTGTCAGAGGAGTAGGACTTAAAAGTTTCTGACCTTCACTCTGGGGTCCAATGCTGTACATACTGAATCCGCGCACGCTTGTTGGTCCACCAAGGTAAAACCTAGTGAATACAGGCAAATTTAATTTAATGCTTCACTTGAAGGACATCTTTGAAAATATCTAGCCATACTTCTAACACTGCTTTTCAGAGTCATAGGTAACTTTGTAACAGGTTTAGTAAAGCGTATTTAAAGAAATACAAGAAATTGTATCTAAATGTAAATCCTGATGCATTTGGCAAAAAATTAAAAATAAATGGAAGTATTAAAAAAAATCAGTCTTCCATCCCTTACAAAGATCAAAACTTAAGGTTCCCAAGCACTGAAGAAGAATCAGAATACTGTCTGATTCCGTTGTAGTAATTTTCATAGAAACACTGTAATTAAGATCTATCACACATGAAGCTGACACTTGGTATTTATTGTAAATAAATTTGAGTCTAAATGGTTTCTACTAGTGGTCTTTGAACACAAGTGTTAGAGGACAAAATGGCCTAAAAAGCCAACATAGTTACAATACAGCTTTACTTCTAAAAATACCTACAGTGTTACATATACCTGATACAAAATTTTGCAGATGGTAAATACCATTTTGCAACCATAAATATTGGCAGGCAGAGCTACTACATAGCAAATTATAAATCTATACTACCCGAATATGAAAATCAAAACCTGAAGGCATGACTTGAGTACTAGCATTCAGTTAAAGCTAACGAGAAACTAATTTTATTCTCCTCAGGACCAGAACTACTACTGCTTCTCTCTTCTACTATAGGGTTTTCTTTACACCATTACCTGGGTTGACTGAAAAAAAATTAAGAAACATTTTAAAAACTTGCCTATCAGCTATACTGGATGGCTTGTCTCCAATAGGTACCAGCATTCCACCCCAAAGTGATGCTGAAAAAACCTTTGGAGAGAAAAAGTTGTTGTTTATTAACATGAATTACTTAATTTCCCTAAAAACAGTATCAGTAAAATTTCATCCATCACTCAGTAACAGGCAGAGCTCCCATTAGTCTGACAGAAAGTTACAGATGATCACAGTGTACGCATGAATATCACACCATCAGTAACAGTGTTTTCAGGAAACTCTTGATCATTGCTGCCCTCTTTCTTTTGTGCAGTGCTTCGTGTTGAAAAAGTCAATACAGCACATTTGAACCAAGTGCTACTTTCACATCAGCTAAAGGGAACACTCATCCAGCTCCCGTCTTAGGAATTTTCATGTCTTGAAATAAGACAACACCGCTGACATAAATTACTCCTGGCAAATTTAAACCCATAAACAGGAAATAGCTACCAAAAATGTACAGTTATTGCCTGTCTGTAAATTAGCCTTACAAATAAATGAATCCACCTTCCGCAACTCACTATATTGACATCTAACACGCGTACATCATTACTGCTTACCTATACAGTAATTCTTGGAGCCAAACCACTCTAATAAATACATTTAATTATTTGCTTGCTGCCTGAGTACCAAGCAGAAGTACTACTGCCAGATGGTAAGATCTACTGTCAATACCTAGGCTAAAGATGTTGGGTAATTTCTCTAATTTCACAGCACACTCCTGCTACCTTCTGCCCTGATGCCTCCCCTCCCATTATCAGACGTGAACTCATCAAGCGCATAGCTGGTTGCACAACACACAGCATGTGCAAAAGCCAGTTGCACGCAAGTCTACACTCGTGAGCAACGGATCACATAAAATTAGGTATACCAGGCGATGAGATGCGCTTCACTTTCACTCACAGTGTAGGCACGTTAGCAGTCATGGGAAAGAGCAAAGTCCTCTTTGCGCAACCATGAAGCCATTAAATTACTTCACAGGAGAATATGCTGTCTTTCTCAGCTGACGGTCAGCAAATTACATATAAGATGACTGGAAGTGCACACAGCTGGCAATGCCTTTTCTTCCACCACATGGAAGGTGCAAATATAATGATGTAATAAGAAATGGGTATAGCAGATAGCCTTAAAATGCCCTTCTGTGTTGGCCTCACTGGTCTAATTCAAGAACTTCATTGCACCGAGTTGCCCAGGAATAAAAGCACGAAACAGCAGACTGACAGATCCTTACATCATCAGTTGATTAGTATCCGCACCACAGAAGTAGCTTGGAGTTTTTCAGTTGTACTGCTGGCATAATGCTAACATTATTCCAGTCTCCTACAATTTCTTCATTATTCCAGTACTTCTTAAAAAGCTTTCAAGAGGCAGAGATCTTCTCAACTCTTGGTTTCGTTTGGTTTTGGTTAGTATGTTCAGATGCAAATTATTGTAACCTCTGATTTTTAATGCTTCATAATGGGAGTTGCTGTTTAATTCCCCATTCAGCTATGATGCAAGAACTTGCTGCACCATCTCCATGCGATAAAGAACTTCTAAATACAGAAAGAAATATTTCTAGCGTATTATTAAATTCTTATTTCACTAAGCAGAAAAACACCTATTTCCACCTAATAATAGCTCTCTGCTCTCTGAAATTTCAGACCTCTATGTTCTCCTAGGAGGCTGGAGTATATTAAACATGAACTTGCAGTGGAGTTATCCAGTGTCATTTCCTCTGACAGAAATATAGATGGTATACACAAGAACTGCTCTGCCAACCAAACCAAGATTTGCAAGTGATGATGATATAGGAATTTGCTTCAAAACCGCACAGTTACTCCAAACCAAAGTACAAATGTAGACACCACAACGTAAAATCTGGGATGTGCTCTGCCTACATGGTGGCAAAACTGAGGACTTGGAAACTTGTCACACTACCATGTGTCTTTCTTGTTGGAAATTAAATTGTTCATTGTGCACAAATATGAAGACGTTCAAAATGTTGCAGTGCAAACATAGTGTTGTAGTGAAATCAGCCTTCCTGTTCTTGCAATAGTTTTACATAGAAGAAATAATTACATGCTATGCTACCAAAATTAGTAGTCATATATTCATAAATTACAATGACAAAAGAAAACTAATTCAAGATTAGTCAGAATATTCATAACCAGATCAAAGAGACAGAACAAAGACTGCAATAGGTTTTCAAAAAATCACTCAAGAAAGATCATAAAGAACAGACGTGCCCAACATTATTTCTGAAAAGAAAGTAGTTCATACAGTTAATTGTCAAACGAGTTCTTCTTTCCAAAATGTCCACTTCTTGAGTGACTGTACACAGCATGAATGTCACGTTAAAAATAAAAAATATTTCACTTTCCAAAAAACAAATCACTTCCATGATCTTTTTCTAATCCATGGTGAAAAATCATCATAAAACACAGATTCAATAACCTCATTTGCTAACTCAGACCAATTACTAAAATATCTTTTAAAAAATTACCGAATCCCAGAGAAGTTGCTTATTCAACTGAAATTCAAAATCCTCTTTTAGAAAGCTCACGTCTCCACCTGTATAGCCAGCCAACTCCTGCAAAGACAGAAGTTTATGAAAGTTGTAATGGATATTACATGTTTCTTCCCTCTAAAAGTTCATCAAGTCTGCATCAGCATAAACAGTGTTTTCTGTCCAAGAAATACAGATACACCGGTATGGCGAGACAACTGAATTTTGGACCAGTGAAAAACCATGCATGGCCCTCAGAACAATGAGCTCCATTTTTCTCCTCCAAATATTAAACCAAGGTATCACTTTCTAAGACATTTTGTAAATGACGGCAAAACAGAATGGAGCTGAAAAATTCAGCACCCAAAATCAAAACTCTTACTGTTACCTAGACCCAAGAAGATTTCATATGTACTAAAGCAGGGCTGAAGAACTGGACAGCCAGTTGCATTACACCAATGCTAGCTGAAAATAACAAGTGAAGTGACTCAATCAGTGTTAGAGGCAGCATCTAAAAAATGATATGTTAACTAAACCCTGAATTACAACCACCTTTCTCTCTCAGAAACAGAACAGTGCTAAAGAACAGTAGCACTTCTGGTTCCAATGGCATTTCAAAGCAATCTGCTTCTAAAGCATTGCAGAAGTTAATGCTGCTGAAGTATTAACCCATACAGCACAAAAGTCGGCTTTTCTAAAGCTCTGAAAGTAACAAGAGTAAAAACCATTTTCTGTACCAAAATGATACATGTATATATGCCTTTGAGAGTTATTTTTACCCAGTCTTTCATTTTTAATTGTAAGACTGACAAACTCTGTAAGTAGCAACAGGACCGCAGTCTGGTAGTCTTACATTACCCCTGACAGTATTTACTCTACACTTTACAGTAGGTATTAGTCCTCGTTTTCTACCACTGTGATGTATCTCAGCTAATAAATAATTTAACGGTAATGGCGAGATAAAATGGCTGTGCTGTTTGGTATATAAATGAAATGGTATATAAATGAAAACTTGCCACCATAAAAAAAGGTTTCATGATTTTAAAAGGCGCAGGCTGTAAAGATAAAAAGTAAATACTGCTCATCACTGTGTCCTACTCAATTTACGATTAATTTCTAACTTTAGACATTTTTAACATGAATATCAATTAGATAAACGAAGGCTTACTCAAACACACTTACAGATAAAATCCAATAATAGCACAAGTGATTTAATACTACCTGATTAATTTTCAGCAAAGCACCTCGTCTTGGCAAGATTGAGGAGTTCCGTGAATCAATTACCATGGCATGCTGAAAAGAATCAAACAATTATTTTGAGGTTATCCTATCTGCTGAATACCACAGAGTGATACTATTCTTTTCCTTCAAAAACTGTGCAAACAGTGGAAGACAACCACAGCTCCAGGTAAGGCTAGTGTACCTTCATGGTACCTACAGACTAACTAGTTTTGAGGCCACATGAAATCCACACATTTAAATCTTCTGGCCGTGGTACGCACCAGAAATATAGCAGCAACAATGCCCCAGTGTAAATCAGCAATTTTGTGACAGAAACCTGTCAGTAGTTTATCTCCTACAATTTGTAAGCTACAAGTTAAAGATGACAAGTGACCAAAAACTGCTATAGGAAAGAATATTTAGAAAGGGCACAGCAACTGTAGGATGAGGAAATTCACTGATCCTGTCTTCTACAAAACAAGACAATTCTGCAGAAAGAGATAGCAGATGTCAGGGAGGGAGGCCCTGCAGAAAAAACAAGACAGCCTATGCAATGTTCAAAACACAACCAACTATAAAAATATGTTTTCTTTTTGGACTCTTGCATCTTCACATGGATAACTCCATGTGAATGGATAACTCCATGTGAATGACTAAACACAGCAAAAGATGTTTGAAATAAAACACACTACCAACTAAGACAAAAAGCTCCTTTGTTATCATTCATAAGTATTAGATTACTCAAAATGTCTTTTAAAAAATTACCAGAAAAAAGCCTTACAGAGAGAGAAGATTTAAGAGAGTGTCCACTTTCTTCTCGAACAGAAAAGGATGCTGTTCTAGCAAGGCAGCCAAGCTCTCTCCACACACCCTCCCACTTCAGTGTGTGACTGGTCTTCCAGATTGGAAACTACAATTAAAGAATTGAGTAAGACATGAAAAAATAGTTGGTATGAAATTAAAATAAACATTTCCCTGAAAAATTTTTCTCTCTAAAGTCTATCTATACATGAGTCAATGCTTTTTCCTTCCAAATTTCTTGGATCAGAGAGAAACCCTTTTTCATTTCAGAGTAATGCTCATTCTGCTTCAGCCAAGAGAGTTTCTCCAAGTAGGTGCACACTACTTAATCCATCCCAAATGAAAAATATCTTCAATTGGGCTGATACAGTGAGCTAGGCAACCAACTGCCTCTCTGAAATGATACTTTAAACATTAAAAATTTGAAGAAAAACACATTAGTATTTTTATACGGACAAAGTAAGATTGAATCCTAAGAAAAAGACAAGGATGTATTACCGCTATAATTTTCAAATTGCTGACTTCTTTCAAATAACAACAAGTTAGCCCTGTGCACAAGTGTTTCAATCATTAAAAAAGCAAAGCAAATATTTGCAAAAGCCAGCTGTGACCTGAATTAAATATAAATGAAGCATGTGTTCCACAAACGCTTGTGCTACACTTACATTAAATTCTGTTGATATTCCTCTATCAGTTTCACGAAGAGAGCTCCAAGGGAACTGTCCAGTTACTTTATATACATTAACTGAAAAACTGAAACACAACATTACTGCCAGGTTTGAAAGTGAAACTAGGTAGTAGGTGGAATTTTAAATTATCACAAAAACTTAAGAAACCAGCTCTACTGCATTATTAACAGACCCTCAGCAAAGGAATAAATTTAATTATTACTCAATGAAAGATTTAATTAATTGTTTTATATTCCTTCACTAAAAAGAGAAGTACTGAAAAATGCATCCCCTACTTTCTTTCAAAGTTTCCAGGCTGTGGTTTGAAGAATGACAGGCCATATGAAGTTTCCTTTGTTCCGTAGGAGAACTGGAAGGTTACCTTTTCTGCACGTCCAAAGAGATTTGGGAACTTGAGCCCAAGAACCTACGGAAAATAAAAAAACTCCACAGCATTTCATATAGTTTGCTGTCTTGCATCTTAATCGTATGCTGAAGACAAGCATATCTACCATGAGAATGAGAAATGAAGACATTAAAACCAGTGGTAATTGAATGTGTTTGTCTTTTAAGGTAGGCTTCTCTTTGCACTGGCAGCAAAAGCCATCACAATAGCACAAGTTACAGTTAATCATCAATTTTTTATTGCTCTCCAGTAGCGTCTCACTTATTCTGCATTCTCACTGTATCATCAGCACTGCTATTATTTCAAGCTGAATCTCCCAGCCAGTCTCAAAGACTTATTCTCCCAGGAGAATAAGTCTTTGGCATAATAAGCAGCTGCTCTGCAACTGCAGACTTTCCAGCTGATCATAAGGAAAGGGTTCATCGGAACCACTGCAATAAGCCAATGGAACATTATCAAGACAGTGTCGCTTCCCTGTATTTTTGATTCAAGTAACAAAAATGCTTTTGCAATCAGTCCTGACAGCAGCGCAACATACCATTACAATTCTCCAGAAATTAGTTGAACGCTTTTGCCTGTTCTGACACAAATTCCTTGTATCCCTTTGGCAGCTCTTGGCCCTTTAGCAGAAAGGATGGAGCAGGTCTCCTCCAAGCACAGATACTACCCAGGACTGTTCTATCATTGTGCATTCTATTTTAAAGAATGTAAAAAAGCTACGAAATCCTGACTGCCTTTGTCTAACAGCTACTGGAAGGAAATCAGTCACCTGAATTTTGTGATGATGGCTGCAATGCAATTATCCAACAAACCAGGAACCACTAATCCAAATGGCTATGAGTATGAAATATTAAATCTATAGGCTTTAGGTGAATTTAAGGGATTAGAATAAATGTCAAATCTACTTAACTCTTAAGGAAACATCATCTCTGCGTGTACGAGTCATGCTTTTATATCATTCAAAAGCTTACTTCTCTGTAACAAATTAATATCAAATAGAGGAGGAAACCAAGTACAAAAAGAGAAACCACAGTAGCTTTCAGATGGTTTTCAAATGCACTAGAACCAACAGGTAGGATTCCCCACTGGTTTCATTCAGGCTACAACACCCTGGACACTGCTCTCAGCAGCGGAGCTGCGTAAGCAGCTCTCAACTCCCTGAGTTCCTATTCTCCCTGCACTTGCAAAACACCATCACCTGAGTCATGCAGGATCTTATCCAGGTTAAAAATACCCCTAAGAAGAAAAAGGATAAGTCCCTTGATCTGGCTTATCTACCAGCCCCAGGCAGAGCAGCACTGTGCACATGAGGAGGCAGAATGCATGCAGGAATGAGCACGTGAAAGCACGATCTACTTACACCAGCACTTCTGTTAAAAGGACATTAACCGAACGACAGTACGGCCGTTACTTTTTCTGTCAATTGGTAAATATTTTTCACACAACATTTTAATCTGATGCATCCTAAATTGAATAAATGGAAACAAGTTCCACAGTTTATATGGTTCTGCAAAACCTTGCATTTTGCAGTCAAGAATAACTGGTACTGGGCTAAAATAGTGAAAACCAATAACAATTTCTAAGTCAAAGATCAAGCATTTTGACGGAGAAGAAAAACATTTTAAATAGATCTCATAGAAACTAAATGCCAAAATCCTTACTAATCTCTCCAATAGATAAAGCGTCTTAAATAGTATCAAGAAAGAAAAAGAAAAAAAAGAAAATTTAAATAATTTTAAGAATTAAAAAATTAATATACTGAGCATTCTTCCCTAGCTCAAAATAGGCTTATGCTAAATGAAAGCCTGACTAATACAAAGACTCTTTAGAGACAAAGGTCTGGCAAAGCCTTAGTAAAGCTGGATCAAGAAAATAATTTGGCTTGGATCAAGTCCTCACTTATTTAATCACCAAATTCCTTGCTAGGTTTGAAACATGTAAGAAAGAGGAATATCTAAAGGAATTAATAATTATTTGAAATAATCCATACCATACTGCCTTCATTGTTGCCAACCATAGTATTGTAGCTTCCAGTTAATCTTCTCAATTCCGTTACCTCAAAGGTTACATCTAAACCATTTGGAAGGGCGTCATCTCCTACATAAACAAACAAATGTATGTTATCTCTAAAGAGCTATTTAAAAAAAAATGCAGATAGAAGATTACTTGAATGATTTGAAAACCGGTTGAACTAAATAATAATAAAAGTCTACATTACAAAGAAAAACATCTTGAGAAAAAGATGTCATTTGGATGTGAGTGCAGAATTTGGTTCAATCACAGCATGACTGGCTTTAATCACCAACATGTTTGTTTAACTATGAAATAGTAACATGTTTGTTACCTACCCACTAAAAACAAAGATGTATACAAATTATTACATTAGAATAAACAGAAATTAAAGTGGTCCAGACACAGCAAGAATGCTGTCACTAGGGCAGAGCTCCCAGCAGCACTCTGCGGGTAAGTGCTAACCAACAGAAACCCCCCAGTTCCCTCAGGGCTCTGGCTACGACAGCTGTTCCAAAACACAGCCCTCACGGGACCTAATTCTGCTGGAGGCAAATGGGACAGCGTCCCACCGACAGCAACCTGTGGCACTGCACTGCACTCCCTTTCCTCTGCTGAAGGGAATGGCAACGGGTTTGAAAAGCAACCACAAGCCCAGGAACGCCAACTGAGCCTTACTGTGAAACCTGCGTACATTCAGCTGCTCCATATATACTACAAGCTAACTTTTAATCACAAGCACTGATACAATTATTAGTATTTCCTTAAGCACCAAGGATGTGCTGATATAATGTCCGTTATGTGATGTGCAACACATGGAAGTACAGGACACATTTTCAAGCTTTTCCTCAAGTGTTCCTCCAAAACTTTGGATTAAGGGTTGTGTACTGTAATCATTTTAGTGCTGGAAATTCACTCATTTTTGCATGCATACAAATAATATTTATATACTCATACACATGTATACAGACACATGCAAATTATTCTTTTTCGTAAGAATAGTGGATGTAGACACATACATTCATATATATAGCATACCTACATGTATATCTAAAATATATAAATGTATATGAGAGAGTAAGTTATATACACAAAAAATGTCCAACCTGTTACACAGGGAAATATATATTATAGGTATGCATCTGTCCATGTATGTATGAGGAAAAAGATGAGGATTAATGAGACAACACATACCTTGACAGGTATCAATCAGAACCTCTACTTGTCTGAAGATTCCTAGACGAAGCAACTTTTCACGAGCTTCATGCGATTTTCTCATCACCTACAGGATAAGTAGCTCAGTCTTTCAGGTTATCAAAAAATAACTAGGATAAAATAGTTAAAATGCAGCTAATACATACAATATTCACAGTTTTTGTACACAAAGACACGTATACGCACCTTCAAAACAGATCACAACCATTTTAACACTTGAATCTGTAAAGAAATAAATTAAATCCAGACCATTTGGCTCAATTCCTACCTTCTGTTAGTGTGCATCCTAATTATTATAATACTTAAACCTATTATTTAAATAGGCTTCAGTACTATGGGGCCCGTGCTTTTCACAAAAAAACCCCAAACACCCTTATCTGTTTACATTTAGACCAATTTACGGGTCTAATTGCCAGCCATACACCAGAAGAAATCACCACATAAAACTGCAAGGACATAGAGACTAACTCACACTGTGATCCATTGTGGAGACTGGCATCAGTTATCTGTGCTGGGATCCAATAATTTATCTCGAGCAAATTAACTGAAAGTGTCCCCTACACAGCTGGCAATTCTTAAATGGGAAGAGTGAAGCTGAAAAAATATCTGAGTACTGTTTGCCATCTCACAACATCTTTGAGCTGAATACATCAGAAAATATGGTATCTCAGTTTGACTTCCATATCACAAGATCAGAATCGTCACAAAACTTGAGAAAGTTGCCCCATGTCTGACAGCAGTAGCCCAAAGCAGGAAAAAGAGAAAAAATAATAACCCGGATTTTTAAACAGTAGGTCTGATATTCACCACAGTACTTACATCAATGAGATTTTTAGCCTTGAAAACATCAGAGATTTCATACATGATAATATCATCTTTGGTCCTTCCGAGTCCATCAAAGTGCACATGCTGAACCACCACCTAAACAGAACAGATGTTTAAACACAAACACTGAATCTGCATAGAATCACAGAATCATTTAGGTTGGAAAAGACCTTTAAGGTCATCGAGTTCAACTGTAATGCTAGGTATAAGGATTTTTAGAAGCCTCCATATGAAATCTCCTGAAGTTGTTCTATGAAATTACTCATTCTAACTTATTCAAGGAATAATATTTGCTTATCCCTGAGAAGATACAAACAGAACGTTAAAAAAAAAAAAAAAAGTTTCAAACAATATGCTTAGAAATGGTTACCGAAATCTCCTGTGAGAGATTAGCGAGACCAAAAAACAACTGTCAAATCAAAATATGTGAGGTGTTCTTCTGTATCTTGAAATTTTAATTAAATATTTGTATAAAACCACTTTTTAATAATGAGCAACAGAAACAACAATGCAGAAAAAAATATTGTTGTCCAAGTGAAAATCCCTGAAGATTCCTAGGCTAATTACTGCTAACCTACATTATCAGAAATCAGTGCTATCTACAATTCTGGAAAGTTGTTCCCTTAACATGAAAATTAAAGAAAAAAGAACTCTAATACCAAAGCTAATACCAGTTGTAGCAGAAGAGAGAGAGTAACGGACTGTAGCTGCTGGGATTTTAGTCGTAAGTGTTGTATGGACAAATAAGTCACTTCAGAAATCACACTGAGATATTAAGACACGTAAGACAAAACATGTAGTTAGTCGTAGGTAGCTATTTATTGTATCAGGTATGCATAAGCAAAGAGTTAAAAGAGAAAACAAACCAACCTACAAACCGTAAATATTTAAACTCTATTAAAATTATTACTACCACTAGAGCATTGTCATTTAACATGTATATTAAGATCACTAGCATTATGAGATTTTATACTTTCTTAAAATCATTGATCTTGTTATGTAATCTTCTGAGATAATTTTATCTTAAAAATCATAAGAAGATCCAGCTTAGCTGGTACAAATGGACTACAGTGGTTGCACTTTCCTTATTTTTCCAATCTTTTCAGTGAATTATAATTTTAGGGGTAAGTGTCAAAAAGAAATCTGCAAAAGCTTCATGTATTCACATATAACAAAATAGCAGAATAAGAGCAGCCTAGCATTACTGCAAACTGCTTTAAAATCCCTGTAAGAATGTATACGTAATGAACTAAATAAAACCCAAATGTTATTACCAAACTTCTAGTGAGGATGACTCTGAATTGCATGAGGGAAAGGAAAATTCTAATAAAAACTAAGATAACGCGTGATATCTCACCCCTCTAGCATGGCTAAACATATTATGGGTCAAGACAGACATGCTCTTACATGCGAAATATTAAAAAAAAAAGTTACCATCCTCTGCTGAAGTTAGTATCTCCCTTAGTAACCTCATTCACATGGTGGCACTTTACCCTAACCTGGCTAATTCTGCACTCTAGCAGATTAAGGACAGTTGCTTGGTTTGCTCCTAAGCAGCGTTGCAGAAGCCGTAATCTCTCTCATAAGAGAGGGGAAAGGAGCATCTGGAAACAGGTCTGTTAGCTCAAAGCTGCATTTTAACAGCTACTCCTGTGGTAGGGAAAAAATGAACGGGGACTAGACAACATCTGATTAAATTCACAGTACTACATTTAATTCTTTCACATCTCAAACCATAGTTTAGAAAGTTCACTTAGGAAAAACAAGCAAGCAAAGGTGCCAAGACACTTCTCTTAAGAAAAAAATTAGGATGTTGTTCAGGTACTTACATCTTTGTTTTCAAGAATTTCCTGCTTGGCCTCAGGTTCAACTTCAACCAGCTCAGCTTCCTCTCCCAAGGCACCAAAGTCTGGCCCACCCATTGGAAGAGGCTCCAAACTCTGAAAGCATAGAAGAAAACTGCATTTGATATGGTATGCAGATTTGTGATTTATGCCTTTTGCAAAGGAAAAAAACCCTTATGGTTCTTGACACTGTGCTCATCAGATCCTAAGGGGGGAAAAAAAAAAAAGCAAAAGAGAAGAACTGAGAAGAGGGGAATTACCAGCATATGTGTTACCTACCTGCCTGCTGAAATTTTTAATGTAAGCTGAACAGCTTCCATGTTGAACGATTTCTCAAAAATACTCTGCACTCTTCCAAAAATAATTTTATTTTTAAGGTATGCTTCCTGTGTTAAAGTTTAATTCTACCTTCCTAAAAAAAAATCTAAAAAATCAGGCTGTCACTACTTAGTTTGGGTTTTTGGGAGGGAGAGGAGTGTGAAGGTTGAAAAATGAAAAGTAAAAAAAAGGATGTTTTTATGCAAAGCACATATTACTGTGCTTTGCATATACTGATATGCTTTTATATTTTAATATTTCTTTTAAAAGTATCCTTCCAAGTAATGCTCAAGAACCTTAGGCCCTATCCATCAGAGGTGAACATTTTAATCAAAATGGTTTCCAGCACAGCATGGCTTTATTTACTATATCTGGAAGAGTCCTAAAATAAGACTTACCAGAAGATAACGGATTCAAGCATAAGTGAATAGAGGGTTACCTGCAAAAGCAGATGTCAGGATTGGATAACTCAGTAAATCTACTTTTAGTCTTAAGTCACTAATAGAGTACTTGCTGCATTATTTAAGGATAGCTTGTATTGCTGGAATAGTAAATTGCTGTTACATATCAGAATCAAGTTAAATGAAGACAGAATCCTCTCTCACTCCCAATAATTTTCAGGCAAGCACGAAACACTCTCTATCCACACAATATTGTATAACATTTTATACTGCAGATGGATATAAAACCAAGAATACGAGAAAAAAATTTGAAACAGAAATTAAATTAGTCATGGTAATTAGATACTCTGGAGCCTTAACAGCCACTGCAGCAATATATTCCTCAGCCTAATTAAACACTATGTAAAAGCCTGCTAGTTTTCAACAGGCTCACAGGAAAGCACTATTCTACCTTGGATCTTGAGCAATCATCCAGACCATTCTTAGCCCCCAAACAGGTCAGTCACTCATTAATCATACCTGAATTATCTACATCAGTTTTAAAAGCAGGCTCCTATGCAGGCTCCCCATGGTTGTTTCAAGGGGAGAGTAGTTTAAGCCAAATTCACAAGGTGTTTCACCAAATGGACTTAAGACTTGCACTGTGATTCCTCTGCTTTACAGTCAACGGCATCACTGACCTTTTCTACGTTACACTCTGACATTCTGACAGCCTTTCTCAAAACCTGGCTCACATGGCTCCTATACCTTCCATAAAGCAGAATACTCAAGAGTGGGCTGCTTATCTAAAAATTATCCTGAGAGATGCTTCTCTAATGAAGCCTTAAGGCATAGAGAATTCATTGCCTTCCTAAACTATTCCAAAGCCTACATATCCTTATTCTTTGAACAATATTTTAATGGTTAAGTTACACTTTTTCCTGTTGCCATTATAGCCACAACTTTTTGTCCTACCACAACAAACACATAAATCTTTACGTTCCTTCTTCAAGCAACGGTATATGGATTTGGAGATTTATGTGCCTGTTCACGAAGATCTCCAAGTGCTTCAGGCAACTGAGACACCGCCGATGTCTTTAAGCAATACGGCTGGATACTGGGGAATTACAAACCTACAGCGTCCACTGCTCATTGCCTGAGAGCTGCAGTTGTGAGGCAATTTCTCTCTGCTTCGGTTTGGTTTTGGGTTTTTTTCGATTTTTTTTTTTCTTCCCTGTTTTCATGTAAGCGGTCTGGCTCTTGCCAGCCCCCCGAGGCAAGGTCAACCCTGAGGGAAGGGGAAGGGAACAGCACCCGGCACCGCTGGACATGGAGCCCCAGGGTGCCGCCGCCCGGGCCTGCACGGAACCCCCTCAAATACGACGGGGCACGGCAGG